TCAAATATGTCACGGTCAGGGACACGATCCATTAGGATCCAATATGTCAGGTGCTTACAAGGGAGCTCAGGCCTTAATAAGACAAAACTATTCAAAAGCGCTGTACATTACCTGAAGCTCTCACAGTCTGAGTTTGGCTAGTGTACTCACAGTTGAATCAGCCGTTGAGATCTTAGTATTTTTTGAAAATGTCAAATCTTGGAACATATTTTTTAGTGTAAGTCTTGCCCGATGGAAGAACCTCTCTGAAGTGACTGGAATTTTACTTCATAGACTTTCTAGGACAAGATGGAGCTCTCGTACTGACGTAATCAAATTACTTGTCCAAAGGCCAAGAGAAATGTTGCCAGCTTTTAAACATGTTATGAAAAATATGGATCTGACCAGTGAGCAGCTCAGCCAAACAAGAGATTTAAAAAAATGATTATCATCTTTTGAATTTGTAAATTTTCTAAGAGGCTGTAGTTGTAGCTGGACCACTAGGATTTGAAACTGAACTCTCTACTAAAAGAAACTGTAAAATAAAACGCTTTTATGATGAGGCATCAAACACGACCCATTTCCACAACAGCCAAACAAAAGAATTTAAAGTCAACGTTTTTAATGTTGGTTTAGATGATCTGATCCAGCAGATTGATTCAAGATTTGAGACAAGCAGAATGGTTGGGAATATGTTTTCATTCATCTAGTTGAATAAAAATGATCTTTCTGTTTAAAATAAAGCATGAGTTTTATCCGAGAGATGTAATCAAAAAGATGAAGTTCGCCGTATTAACGTAATGCCCACAAAATAATTTTCAAGCAAGGATATTCAATGCAGCTACTTGATCTAATCTTTTAGAAGTAGCTTGAACGCCTTTTTCCATATGTTTGCATCATACTTTGAATTTTCAAAACTATTCCTAAGTCAGTTGCTGAGGGTAAACAATCATTTAGTAAGCTAAAAATTGTAAAAAACTCTCTCCGTTCAACCATAGATCAGGATCGCATTACTGATATTTGATAATTTTGAATAAAGATTTGGCTAAAAAGGTGAGCTAGGATAACGTCATCGATATTTGGGTGGCCAGAAAGGCTCAAAAAATTCATTTTTAAGCACCCTATTTACCTTTTTTGAAGGTTTTGTTAATTGATTTTTTAATAGTTTTGAAACTAATGTTTTGATTTATATGTCAGTTTTGAATAATAAACTGTTTCTCAATCCACAGAATTATTAATAACGTAAAAATACAATGTACTGTATCAGAAATAAATTAGTGTTGCCATTCATTAAAATATAAATGCCGTCTGTATTGTGATAGTTGTTTGCAGTAAATAACTAAGTTTTGTAGGAGTTAAAATTTAAAAGCCACTGAGCCTTAATTTGATACAGAAGTGATCCTAATATGGACATTCCAGAATTTATTAAATCATATTTAATTCCACTCTTTGAAAAGCTATCTATGAAAAAACAAATAAAACTATTTTAATGGGCAATTTTATGTGCAACTTTATGTCGATCATTGCAGACAAGAATCCCAAATCACTCAAAAATTCTAGTTGAAAACATGTTTTCTAATGCAACATCTACAAACATTTTTCTGGTAATTTTACCTCTACAGATTTACCCCAATTTTTAATACATCCACCTTATAGAGCCAAAATTAATAGTTGTAAAAGCTGCATTTTCTGTTGGAATAAAAAAAAAAATGCAAAGAGTTAAGTAATGATTTCTTGAAAAATAGCTGGGCTAATGTAATTAACGTCAACGAAGGTAAGACTAATAAGTCATTTTAAGAATCTTTTACAAGTTTTAATTCATTTTTAGATAAACACACACCATTAAAAAAGTCAGCAATTGCTTGTGCCAGCAGTTGCTTGTCTAGGGATCTCAAACCTTGGATAACACAAGAAATGTTTAAAAAATTTCTTAAAGCAAAGAACCTTAATAAGAAGCTCAGTCGAGAAAAATCTTATTATACTTTTTTTTTTTTCAACTCAATTAAAAATGGTAATTTTTCTATAAAACAACATTGTATTTTCAATAGAACCAGTGTATTTCTGCATTATTAAAAAATAAAATAAAATAATATCCAATTCAATTTAAAAGTATATTGTTGAAGTGTATTTCTTTAGAATTTCTCTGTATTTGTCTTAAATATATAACTTCTTTAACGTAAGAGTGGTTTGATTTTTGCTTTATTATTTATTTATATTATATTTATTATTGTTTTACTACTATATTTTATGTTACTATTATATTTAATTATCTATGATATGTACATTAATTTATATTATATAATAAATACTTTTAATATTTTTGATTCTTCTATTATTATTTTTATTGTTTTGTATTATTACTAATATCAATATTACTTGTTTGACAACATTATTTTTTTTTTTGTTTAAATTTTATTATATTTAAGTGTCACTCCATTGGCTAGTTTTTAACTATATGAGTGACACCTAACCTCCACTGTAAGATAGACCGCTTATATTTACTGTTGGTCTGGAATAAAATAAAAAAAACATTTTTTGTATACAAAAATTTAAAAATTATTTAAAAAAAATTTTATGAATAATTATTATTTTCAAATTAAAGATGGTGGTTCAGTGCTTCCATTAACCACCTGGATATGCCCAGGGACCAGAAAACTATTTACATTTGTAGCTCTCTCGCATATTCATTTTTTGATACCAATTTATAAGCATTTAGACAAAAATAGACAAGTTTATAACAATTTAAGTGAAGAAAAATTTAGTTTTGACCACAGTTTCTTCAACAAATAGGGTAACAGGGGGCATTAAGCCTAATGGGGCAATAATTCCCTTTTTTCTCAGTTAATATAATGATATGCCTTATGCTATTGTATAAAGAGAAAAAAGCATTAGGCTCTCATGATAAAGACTAACTAACCAATCAGGGAACTTTTCATTACCATTCTTGGGTTTCTAACAAATGGCATTAATATTTAATTAGCATTTATAGATGACTGGTTTTTTCATCCAGTTTTTTGTTTCTTCAAAACTTGTTGAAAAACCTCAGCTAAACAAGTGCTTTTTTTTTGACTTATTTTTGCATTGAAACTTTTTTATTTTTCATACAAATACAAGTACATATAGACTAAGTAGGTACCTTTTTTAACATTTCAACTATCTGCGTATGTAATCAATAAGTTAAAATACTGATATTTAAAGAGCAAATGAAGGTAGAAATCATAGGCACTTGGATGAATGTGTAAGAGATTGTTTCTAACAAATAGCTCTAAAATTTACTTTAATACTGAATTTCTATTTAATATTTTGAATTAATACCATTTTTAAGAAAAATACGTTTCTGTCAATATTTAATTAGTTAAATAAGTTTATATAAACAAATGTTTAAATTAGCAGGTGCTTAATGGCCTCAATTGTTAAAAAAGGTGATTGAAACAATCAAATGGCATTAATCAGATAAATAAAATCCATGTTTTAATTTTATAAGTAATGCAGAGATATACTTTAAATTAAAATCAAAAGTTAATTATTTGTAGAAATAGTTTAAACCTTTCTTTAATATAGTTTTGATAATGGAGCTTAATGCCGCCTTTATTGAGCAGAATGGTTTGGTCATACAAAAGTCCTATGCAACTAGCCAGACAATGACAAATACAATTCTGTCATGTCTGCCAACCAGGCATCCAAGCATTATTACAAGTACTTTCCAGCACTAGAACTCACAATGCTCCTGCCTCAACATCAGTACTACATTTATCATTGTCAACATCATTGTCAACTGCAGCATCATCAACAGTTATTTTCAGCTCCTGCGGAAAAACCATAGACACTATTTGACTTCATCCTCAGGAGAGTCTTTTATGATAGACTTTTTTCTCAAAGAACTTCAGTCTTAGATTTGCGAAAACTTCTGATCATGGTAAGTTGGCTAAAGTCAGGTTTTGCTACAGAGAAAGCCTAACAGGTAATGAATATTTAAAGCGACTGAAAGAAGAAGCAGTAACAAAAGATTACGCTCAAAGAAAAAAGACCACAAGAAGGTGTGCAGTGACTTATGTAATGTTTGGTACCATGTTAAATGAACAGAAATTCCAGATAAAGCTGATATTGAAGCCATGGACTGGATATATTAGAAATATCTAAAAATATTATAAAAATATATGTTTTTTATAATAAAGCTTATTGCCCAAATTTTTTAAAATTTGAGCCAACATAAGTTGTAACTTTTTAGCTTTTTTTTCACTATGTGACATAAAATTTTTCTGAATAAAGCATTTGTATATATAGAATACGTGTTGTCTATCACTTGAAATATTTCCAGTTTGAATATTCATATTTGAGGTTTTAATATTTATATACTTATTTCAAAGAGATAATAAATACATGGAGCTTATTACCCCCTGTTACCCTAAATATTAATTTTGTGTTAAATTTAAGTTTAAATTTAAGTAAATATTTTAAATAAGTTAAGTAAATTTACAACCATTTAATTATAAATTTAATAAATTAATGTTAATTTACAATACTTAAAGTATATATTTACAAAATATACTAATATTTTTGATTAATTGGATTTTTTTGTCATATAAATTTGTTTGCAAACACTGTATTGCAAACAAATTTATATTAAAAACATATCCAGTATTATTAAAACATATCCATTATCATCAAAAGTATTAATTAAACATATCCAGCATTATCAAAATCTTATTTAAATGCATTTTATTGTATTACAAATATATGTTTGTATTACAAACATATGATTGTTTGTATAAATATATGTTTGTATTACAAACATATGATTGTTTGTAATACAAACATATATTTGTAATACAATAAAATGCATTTAAATAAGATTTTTATAATATACAAATTGCATATTATAAAAAATCCTAAGTAAATACTACACACACTTTTTTAAAAAAAGCTTTGCTTTTAAAAAGCTCAACTTAAATTTAAATTGCATGAAAACAAATTGTTGTTCTAAATTCTAGACAAGATTTCTCAATTATCTCAAGACTTACTTAACATGTAGAAACCACCTTGATCTTTTCTGACAAGTCCTATTAGATACATCAACTATATTCTACTTAAGCCCAACACATTTTTTTCACGTACTTTAGTTAATAAGCTACATTATTATTATCCAATTACTTTTTTCAAGACACTGCATGCTTTGGAGCCAATGTTTTGGGTGATACTAATCCGCATAAGAATGAAATAACAGAAAGCTTTATTTTTTCTTAAATATTAACGATTTTTTTTTTTCCAAACTTTCCTAAAATAAGTTAGGACAGGCATCGTAATAAATCAGGAGGGGCATCGTATTTTTATAATATATAACTTTTTTAAATATATAATTTTCGAACTGGCATATTTTTAAAATATATAATTTTTGCACTGGCGAAATTCGTTTAACTTCATCTTAGGCAGGCAAGTCAAACTCAATTTGGTATGGGGGCCTATTAAAGCCTAAGGAAATGTTGTAAGGGCCGCTCAAGGTAATATTTATTTTTTTGATGAATGAAGTGTAACTCTTTAACCCAAACTGTCCTTTTGCAAAGGTTTGGTATGAAGTAAACAAGATTATAGTTATATTTAAAATCTATCAAATCACAGCAATATTATTAAAAAAAGTGCAGAAATTTAATTTTGTATTATTAATTTCACACAATAAGATTATAATAAAAATGAACAAGGAGTATTTTGTATTAATAATAATAAACATAAAATTTTGGATTTTCCAGAAATTTGACATCATTTATTCGCTGAAAAGCTTAATAAGGTCTGGTTTTATTTCTTGGCTAGCTACCACTTACATTATGGAAGATAAATGCTTATCAGTTATACTGGACCTCTCAAAGGTTTTATTTTGTTTCATGTGTGAAAAAGGTTGCTCACAAAGATAAGTACTGCCAAACATTGCACATATTTGACAAGCAAATTGAATCATCTTAGAAAATTGATGTGGTGGTAAAAATGAACAAAAATTGGGTACAACAACATCTGGAAATTGTTGTTTGAGAACAGAATCACACTGAAGTTCAATTAATTCCATTTGCAGGTCTTCTTCCACTTTTTCAATACCAAAGTTAAATGGTGAGAAGAACAAAGCAAACTTTGGTTCACATTTTTTAAAATCTTGAAACCTTATTACAAAATTTTGTTTTATATTATATATTTTTTTTTAGTAGCTGCTGAACACAAAATTTGGGTCTTGCAGCTTCATAACCTTGCACGTCTCAAAATGTACAAAATTCTCTTGTTCAATTTGGCGTTCCCAGAGTAAAAGCTTGTTTGAAAAGCACTGACATTATCGAACATTTTGGTGATCAATTTGTTCTTTTCTTGCAACATAATGTTCAGATCATTCAGGCGTTTTGTGATATCAACTTGTGATATCAAGCTAAATCTTGAAGAAACTTGGTATTTTTTATATATGAAATATCTTTTTATCACATATTCTTTTAATCACATAATCCATTTCAATAGCTTTTCCGCATAATACTTCTTGGTGAATGATACAATGAAAATTGTTTAACTTTTTGCCAATTTTCTCATTTTATTTACCAACAAGACCCTTCTTCGAACCAATTATAGCGGGTGCTCCATCAGTAACACAATTTTAGTAATTGGAAGTTTATACTTGTTCAGAGTTTTATCTCCAAAAAAAGTGACTGCACCTGTTGTTGTACCATGCATTGGAATCAACTCCAGAAGTTCTTCTGTAATTTCATATTTTAAATTGCGACCTCTGATAAAAACTGACAACTGAGCAACATCTTTGACATCTTTACTTTCATCAACAGCAATTGAAAAGGCCTGAACATCCTTGCAGATTTTTGTTAACTGACTTCTCAAATCTGTTGTCGTATACGCACTCAGCAGATATATTTCTTGAAGAGCTTATTTTGTTTATCCTTGCAAATTTTTGTTAACTGACTTCTCAAATTTATGTCATTTACACGCTCAGCAGCTGTATTTCTTGAATTATGTTGTTAAAATCTTTTATTTTTTCAGGGCAAATAATCTTTGCAGTTTTAATTAGGCAGTTTTTGATAACGGGTGATAACTAAGTTTTGGTACAAACTTAAACTAAAATTTATTAATGTTAGAAATGTTGTTTTAGATCTATTAAATACATATTGTCAATTAAGTCTATTATAAAAAAATAATAATGAAGAAAAAATTAGAGTCCAGATCTCCTTATTTTATCAAACCTTTTCTTCACTGATAAAGCATGGTTTTGTAAAAACTTTAAGTCCATATTGCCAAGGCATCTAACTATCTTTTTTTCTAATTCAACAAGATTTTATGCCGTCCAGTTGTTCTTGTAAACCTCCATTTTTCAAGTTTCCCCAAAAATCTTCTATTGGACGAGCTTCCGCCAAATTTGCTGGATTCATGAATTTTGGTACAAAAGTTATATTCTGGTCTTCCAAAACTTTCGTTACCTTAGAAGTATAATGAGCGTACGCAAAGTTAGGCCAAAACACATAACCACTACCACTATAATTTTTTTTAATAAACGGAAGGAGCTTGTTATTTAGAATTTCACAATAAACGTCTTGGTTGATTGCATTTACAGATTTTTGAAAAAAAGGTTTTAGGTGATATAGCAAGCCATACAAGTAACTTTTGGGGATATTTTTTTTTAAAACTGTATTTAACATCCGGTGTCTTATTAAAGTCATCCGTGTAGAAAGCGTCATTGCCTGGCTGATCAGCGTGGCTCAAAGTAAAGTACGATTCATCATCAATCAAAAAATCACAATTTCCATAATGCTGTAAAAGTTGTTTGCATTTCGGTTAATCTAGTTTTTTTTATTGTTCAGTTTGAAGCGGTTTTTTAAATTTTTTTCTAAACTTAATGCTAGTACGCATTTTTAACAACTTGTTAACATATGGTTGAGAGCATCCAAATTTTCTAGCAGCTGCTCTTTGAAAACATACTGTTCTATGATTGAACATATTTTTTAGTTTTATAATATTACTTTTGGTTGCTATTTTTACTGGAAGACTAATGGCAATTTTTCTTTTCAATGTACCGGTTTCTTTTACTTGCTTGATCCAACGATATATACTACGTTTTGAGGCTAAAGGTCCAATAAAACGCGTTGCAATTTCATTTGATTCTATTTCAGGATTCTGAACAATGAATTTGTACAATTTATTTTTTATACTCTCATTCTTTGCCATCTCCTGTAATTTGAAAAAAAAGAAAAATAGTTAAAATTTTTTATAAACTGTATGATAAAATACAAGAGCTTTATTTTACGTAACTTAGAATGCTTATAGAGTATGAAGTAATAAAATTATATGCATTTTTGTATTTGTGCCAAAACTTAGTTATCACCCGTTAAGTTCACCTTAAATGAAAGGTCTGAAATGAGATTTTGTTGCTTTTTTAGTTTGGCTTTTAGTTCATTTAATTTGTCTGTCCCTTTTTCTTTTTGATAAATTTCAAACTTTTCTAGTTTTATAGTGCTTCTTGATATTCAATTCTTTCGCACACTAACTTTTTGTTGACAAATCAAACAAATACTTTCATTAATGCTTGTAAAAAAGTATAGCACTTCCCATTTTAATTGAAAAACTATTTTTTCATCTTCAATTAACGTTTTCTGCTTGCACTTGGTTTTGAATGAGACATTTTTATTTTAGTGACAATAACAAAAAACAAAAATAGCTCAATCTTAAACAACAACAATAAGATTACGTCTAATCTATTAGACCGGGTGAATAAAAAAATGCAATTGCTTTTCTTCAGCGTCTTTGGAGTAATTGTTCAGCTGTACGATAATAAAAATTTGACCAATTTTGATCAAACTTTTGTTCACGTAAAGTTGAGCAATTACTCAGCATTTTTGGAGTAAATTACTCAACTTTACATGAATAAAATTTTTAAAGATTTTTCTTAATTCTTTATTCACGTAAAGCTGAGCAATTACTTCAAAAATGCTGAGTAAAAAAAAAATTGCTTTTTATATTCACCCGCCTTATTTTCTCATATCGATTGTTAAAATTAAAATATATTGTCATTATTTTTTAATATTTTTTATGGTTTTATTTTCAGAGTTTCAATTTTAATAAAAAGTTAGAAAATTAATTTATTATTCATGTCCTTTTTAATAAAGGAGTTCAGAAAACTATTTCTGATTTTTTTAAGTTGTTTTTTTAAAAGCATTTTTGAAATGCATGTTTGCGGGCCGCCATATGTAATAAAATGATAAAAATGTTGAGGGCCGCCATTAAAGGTCTTGTGGGCCACATGTGGCCTGCAGGCCGCAACTTTGACATGCCTGCTATAAAGGCTCAGAGTATGCTCAATTTGATTGAATGAGAGGAATGTGCATTTGTCATTTATCTTTCAAAAAGACGTCTTCAAAAAAGAGGTCGAAAAGACGTCAATCGGTTGTACTTCATTAATAAGACGTAGAAAAGACGTCTTTTATATCAATGACCTTTAAAAAAAAGAAAACTTTCAGTTAAATTAAATAACGCCCATTTTAGGGAGGGGGATTTTTTTTTAGGGAGGGGGAGGGGAAAATTCACTAACGTTTCTCTCTAGGAAACAACTTAAGTTAATAATAAACAAATCAAAATTTGCTAATTATAATTATAATAAACAAATTAATATTGCTTATTAACAACTTTCGTTGTTAATAAGAAAATCATTATTTGCTTAAGAAAATTGAAAATAATTATTGCCAATAGAAACTAACAAAGATGGGTTTTAACCGGGACGATTAAATAAGCGCGAATTTCATAAGTGCGAACTGGCATAAGTGCAAATGGCGTAAAGCCCGTTCTCCATTCAAAACTTTTTGCGCTTTTGAGAAGCGTAAAAGTTCTTTGAGCATGCGCAAAAAGTTCTGATTGGAGAACGGGCTTAAAAAAACTGTTTGCGCATGCTCAAAGAACTTTTACGCTTCTCAAAAGCGCAAAAAGTTCTGAATGGAGAACGGGCTTTAGATATTAGTAAAAAGCGCTATGTTTAGGTACGCATGCGTAAGAAAATACGATAAACTTTTGAACTTTTAAAATGGCTACGGTTCGTAACAACAGAGAATATTTTATATGGCAACAGTTTATTTGTTAATTAATTTCTAAAAAGCCAATGATATAGCCTTATTTTTAACGTAAATCAAAAAAATAATACAAAATTTCAA